CATAGACAAGTCCCATGTCTAGTCTCCTGACTGACGATGGCTACTAGGTTACGCTTTCTGTCATTCCTCCAGCTCCTTCTACAGATGAATTGGTTAAAAGAAGAACCATTTGAAGCTTTTCAATTGACAGAAAAATTCTCAGGATCTTCATCTTTTGCCGTATACCAAGTATTCCTCTTCAATAGTTCCATGAAAAGAAATAACATCTTCAGTCTTTTGCTGGTTAGTTTGTGCAGTATTGGTCCCCAGCTTGATATAGAGCTGCAAATAGTCATTACTATTAAATGCGTTCTTTATTTTAAAAAAAAAATCTTAGATGGAAGCCCACTATGGAAAACAGAGGAGAGACAAGCTGCTTTGTTTGAGAGGGACGATGTGGAGGATTACCCCCCTCGTCAACTGGCAGGTCCAGAGGCACCTCTGTGGTTCCCTTGGGACTCTTGGAAATAATGTGTGACCACATGGATCTGTAAAGCAAGGAAGGCCTTTGAGCTTTGTCCATTAATTCAGCAACTACTGTGAGCGCTGACTATACCTCTGTGCTAAGTGCTGTGCTCCGTGCTGGGCATGGGGCAATGAAAGGTCGCTCCCCTGCTCCCCAGATGCTCAGAGTTTGTGGAGAAGGAAGAGGAGGTGCAGATGTTTATAAGGAGGGTGACCTATCGCAATCTTCTCTTTATTTGTGGCTGATGAGGCACAGCTAATATCCCTGGGCTTTGCTTTGGAAGAACTGAACACGATTTATAACCCAGCAGAATTCTCTCGATTTTCGCCACAAAAATGCTCCTCGGTCCTCCCCTTAAATGCTGATCCTGAAACACATGGTGTGTGTCTGTGGTTCCATGTAACCACTGGGGAGGCTTTCCAGAGAGGGTCAGCCTCTGTGAAATGTTCATTGCTTGTACATACTTTTATTCCAATCTTTAATTTAAGGCACATCCCAGACATAACAAAAAAGAAAGAAAAGAAAAGTGCCATGAGGAAATTTTGTCTTCTTCTTTTGTAGAAGAAAAAAATTGAACCAGCTTTTCATTAAGCTGTTCCAGTGCATCCCCTGTATGATGTTAATTACCTAATGGCATTAGCATGGTGTGCTGTGTGATTGTCCCTCACAATTAGTTGGCAAAGCATTTTAACATCCATTATTAGCTCCTTGAGGGCTCACAGAGGCTCTGTGAATGAAGCAGTCAGCTAGAGCTTTATTTTACAACCATGGATCTCAAGGTCGTAGTCAGCTATTTGCCAGGATCACACACCACATACAGTACCTGTGTGGCAAAGAGTGTGCAGTTTAAAAACACGACAGCCCCAGTTTATCCTAGTATCCTGTTCACGAGCTATGTGGCCACAAGACAATCCTTTTACTTGCCTGGGCTGCAGTTCCCTCATCCATGATAAGCATGTAGTACTTAGTAGGTACCCAACGCTATTGTCAACTCTCCACATGTGTGTATTCCCCTAATCCTGACAAAGCTATCGTTATTCCCATTTTATAAATAGAAGTGAGGTACCTAAGGGCGTGCAGCTAATAAAGGGTAGAGAAAGATGTAAAACTCTGATAATCTGGCACTGGAGTCCATACTAACCCTTGCACTGTCGTGAGTCACATGTAATGAGAAGAGTATAGATTGGTACTAGTGACTGTATGAGTCAGGATAGTCCTGGTTATGGAGTAACAAACATCTCCCTACCCCCAAATCTCAGGGGTTTAACACAGCAAAGATTTATTTTTCACTCATTTCCTGTCCATTATGGGAGGCTTGGGGGGAGTGGCAGGGGACCACCGTACATCACCCTGTTCAAGAACCCAGGTTGAGAAGGCTCCATCACCAAGCGTCCTTGACTGATGGTGGACACAGATGGAAGAAAGCAAAAAAAGGAGTGGGGGAGGGGGTCAGACTTTCAAAGCTTCTGCTCAGAAGTGACCCATATCACTTCTGTTCACATGTTATTGGCCCAAAATAACATGAAATATACAGGAAATTGCAGTTCTACCATGTTCTTGGATATTGTAGCATGAGATACAGTTGGTGGACAGCACAGGTGACCTCCCATTGTGACCTGCCTCCCAGAAGCTCGGGGGGAACGTGCATCAGAAATTGACACGTTCCTGTCAAGTGGTGGGTGCTGTTTCTCCTCTTGCCTTGTTAATTTTTTTTTTCAAATGGCCTCTACTCTTTTCACCATCAGTGCATGAAGGGTACTATATAGCTTTTTTAACTTAAAAGTTAAAGTTAAAACAATGGCCAGGAAACTAAAATCTTCCCCAGGGACAAGAATGGCGGCGCCCTTTCGGCGCCCTTTAGCTACAAGCTTTCTTTCTCCCATCGGGGTAACTAACCAGGCCCAACCCTGCTTAGCTTCCAAGATCAGATGGGTTCAAGGTGCTATGGCCCCAGATGAGCATTCTTTCTAATGTCTGTGGCTACCTTCCCAATATCTAATTTATTTCTGTATTTCTATATTCTCAACCACTTCAACTTTACTTTCTTGTTTAAATAACTTTGTATGATCTTACAGCTTGTTAGGAACAGGCAATACAAAGACTTAGTTTTCTACATGGAATCATTTATTCATTTATTCTTTCAGTAGAAGCAGAGTCTTGTTAAACCTAGCTATATGCAAGGCATGATGGCCCAGGCTGGGAAGATGCAAGGATTGCTCAGAAAGGAATATTGCCTTCAAGGAGCTTAGACTCTATCAAAGAGTTTAGATCTGTGGCAACATGAATAGTGTGAAATGGTTGGACACCCATCCACTCATCCATCCATCCTTCCATTCAATGAACATTTGTTGAGTGTTGACCAAGTTCCAGACACAGTACAGTGTTAAGAAAGGTACATGGCAATGAGTCATGCAAAGTCTCTACCCTCATTTAGCTTAGAGTCCAGTAGGGGAGACAGACAGTTACAATACAGCACCCCAGTTATCGTCCATGTGGGATGCAATAGAAATACTGGGAAAGGCACGTAATCCAGACTTCGATTAAATGAGGGAATTGACATTCCGGGCTAAGGGAGCATCGTGGGCCCAATGCGGGGAGAAGGGACACAGAGTTTAGGCAGCAACTTGTACTTTGGGTGGCTGGAGTCTAATGTGTGCATGAGAAATGAGACTAGTAATTGCGGCCCAGGACAGATCATGAAAGATTCTGTGTTCCAGACCAGCCATTTTCCATTTTCTCTTATGGGCCAGTGGTTTCTGAATATTTTGATCCTCCATCTTTATAAAAAATGATTACAATACTAATTATTAGAATAATTTATCAACTGTATTTATAATCTATTCCATTACAGTCACTCATTTAAAAACATATGCTATCAGACATACATGCAATATGGATTTTAAAGGACAATGATGCAATGAATATTACTAATATTTTCATTTAACTACAATGTAAAAGTCTGCTCTCACAATTTTTTAGTGAGAGCAGTAGTTGGAATTGATTGGTTCTTTTTTTTTAAATCTTAATACTTTGTGTTACAATAATATTTACAAAGGTTCGGTTCCAAAGTCAGCTTATTTCTATACCTGGATCTAATGGCTCTCAGAGCGAAATATATATCTTAGAAAGACAAGCAGATTCTGGGGGGAGCATTTGCACTCTTGACTGATTTCTCAGTCATTTATGTCAAACTTCTGTATGAGCCATCATACATTTTCTTCTTGTCTGATATCTGTGAGTTATTCTTACAAGCTCATTAGAGGACAGTACAATGTTTGCATTTTTAACAAATGGATTTAAACCCCACCCAAACTATTCACTTGGAAGATCTGAAGACATAGTAGTAAATTGCAGCTCTGAGAATTTTGATAGATGACATAACTCGTGTTTGACAACCTAGTTCCCAAAGAGATGGAAACATTTTCAAAATTTTCTCTTCAGAACATAAATTCTTTTTTTATGAAAACCAGTTACTTTTCCACTCCTTCTTAAACTTGTGATCTTTAGTTTGGATAAACAAAGTAAGTAAGTTTGCTTTTCTTCCAAATATTTTCTAGAGAGAATATTAACGGCAACCTGCTATCAAAAGAAAAGGCAGCAAATTTGGAACGCTTGCTTTTTTTGTCAAAGAAGTATGGAAAAGTCATCTTTAATTTTGACAACTTGTAAGCATTCTGAAAAAAAAATAACCATTGAATTTCTATGTGGCAATGAAGATTTTTCTCGTTACAGTTCCAAGTATTATATTCTACCAGTGGAATTTCTTTCTACATAAATGAGGTCATTTAACTCATGAACTCAAATTGTCTGAAATACTCTGAAAGTGAAGAAGGGATGCGTGTACCTAGAGGAAACCCTAAGTGGCAGAAATTCTCCTCACTTCTTAAGATACCTCCTCCATGTTTACAGTCAGAGGGTGGTCTGACATGGACCCTGTAGACACTAAGGTCAACCCATGTATCAAATGTTGATGATAATCTTTGTCAAGATAAAAAACAAAAGCTATGAATGGAAGTTGTAACATTGTCTTCTTGTAACTCAGCGGATGACCCAGCTCAGCCCTGAGGTGTGAGCGCACTGCACCGGAGACCACTGCTTTAAGGAATAGGCCAGGAAAGAGTCTGAAACAAGAGAATGATGGAGTGACAAGGTCACAATGTGTTTGTGATAATTGGGGAAAGATGGGCTGGAAGGAGGTGAGGCGCGGACCCCAGACTGAAGCATGACGGTGGCCTGAACTAGAGTGTTGGAGAAAGGAATGGAGAGAAGGAAACAGAGTAAAAATTAAGCACTTAAGTTGAAAACGAAATGGGTGATGAAGTGCAGAATCTATAGTCTATCCCAGATTTATGCACCAGTGGGTTGAGAAAGATGTTGGTGTTATTCCCTGAGACAGAAGTTATATAGGATGAGCAGGTTTGGAGGGAAGAATGACAAGGGCCCTTGTTAAAAGTTCAGATTAAAGGCTAGGGGAGTTTGGAGGAGGAAGAGAATCCTTCTCGTCATCAGGAAATCCAAGAAAGCTTTGTGTAAGAGGAGACATATAAATGGGCAGGAGTTGAACTTATGGAGTAGGCAACACTGGGGCTGCCACCAAGGCCAAGGGTACCCACTCTGGCCTTACGCGTGTGTCTCTCCATTCATCTACATCAACAGGTACGTGCGCTCAAGGACGAAACATGACGTTGACATGCGAATTGGAATCCACTCAGGCTCAGTGCTGTGTGGTGTGTTGGGCCTTCGGAAGTGGCAGTTTGATGTCTGGTCTTGGGATGTGGACATTGCGAACAAACTTGAATCTGGAGGAATCCCCGGGTAAGCCAGAGTTAAGCCCTCTCTTTCTTAACCCTTGTCATTTGCTCACTTTGGAAGAGTAGGTTTCTTCCGTGCCTCCTCAAGGTTCATAGGATCCAGTCTAAGTTCTGAGCACTTATTTGGGAGGAGACAGAACAATAAAACGTCATACAAATATCGATACCAAAAGTCTTCTAGTGAAATTCATCATAGGCAACGAAGATGGTGGGGTGGCACTCAGGTTTTCAGGACCCAACCCTGCACAGTATTGGTTCTTAGACTTGATGTCACATCAGAACCAACAGAGAAACATTTAAAAAATACTGTTGTCTCACGCCAGTTCATTTAAAGCAGAGTCTATTTTAAGTTCTTAAAGCAATTCTCATGGGCAGCCAAGATTAAGACCTATTGACCTAACCCCTTGAAAACTCAGCCTGCCACATGTGGCTCACAAGATTGGTGGGTACGGAGTTCCCAAAGGCATCAGAGACCTAGAAAGGCTCATCCAACATTGAAAAGTAGTGCTAAGATTCTGTTGACACAGACTGAACCTAATAAGATCTTAGGCATATGTGAACCAGTGAGTTGTACTGACTTACTACAGCCCCTCGCTCTGAGAGATGATAAAAGATGAACAGTGAGAAAGCTAAGATAGAGCATTTATATATATTCATTTCCCCACGCCCCCAGCCCTGCCTTTGGAATCAGAGTTCTCTGGTATCTGCTATCATCCCTTGCTAATTATATCTAATATAGGGTGACCTGCTATCATTGGAAATAAACCACAGGAGGGTAGAATCAGAGAAACTAGGGTTTCCACTCTGCCCCACACTAAGCCCTGTTACCTTCAGTGAGTTGTGTAAAACAGGGACAGCACCTGGCATGTGATGTTAGCAGGAACTTGGCTTTCCTGGCTGTCTCTGTGTGATCTCAGGCCAGTGCGTAACTTCTCTGAGCCCCACTCTCCTCACTGCAGAAAGAGAGATGATATTATGATCTCTCTTACCTTGTGATTTTATGTCCCTCATCTGCCAAATGGTCATAATTCCCCACACAGATTTCTCCTGAAAATGATCCAGGGCCATGGGTGGGGAGCATTTTGCAAACTGTGTGCTGATATCTCCATGCCAGTCACCATCCTGATAAAGGAGGGACCCCTCGCTGTCTTCAGGGTGTCACCACTGTTTGTCATGAATGTTTAGAACAAGGTAAATGTACCATATCACGACTGGGCTTCTTAAATCCTTCAATTCTACAAGTAACTGCCTGCTGAATTCAAGCAAACCAGACTGCTGATTTATCTATGTAGCCAGGCCTGTGTCTCAAAAGTGTAGCTAAATGGAGAATTACCCATGTCCTGAAACCATGGCACACAGCATGGAGGGCATCCGTGGAGGGCTTTGATGTCTGGAAGCCAGGTTAGGTACTGTTCTTGAGCACACGAGGAAACACAAGAGTGATTGAATTTAAATCTTATGGTGTGTGTTTGAATGGTGGGTTTACTGCTTACCAGTTATGAGAGAGCACATTTCTGAATCTCCCTGCCCAGTTTCTTCACTTTAAAGTTGGACTAGAACTATGAACCATAACAAGTTGGTTTCAACTGAGATAGTGCTTAGAAAGCACTTAGTCTTCTGTACAATATCCACCCTGCTTAGGCATGGGACGCGCCAACATGCAGAAATGTAGTCATAGCAGGACACGTCTTCAAACCCTCCATGGTCTGAGATTGTTTGGGTTTATATGTGTTTGCTTTTTAAATGTCTGGTTACTTTCCCTTCCTAGCAATCAATATATATAACAAATGAGCTTCCAGTGAGAGAGTTAGCCCCCAATTCTAAACACGTAGTAAGTACCTGCTGTGTACTATGAAGTCTGTTAAAATCATGAATACATCACATCGTTTGATCTTACAACACCCCACATAGCAAATATTACCTTCCTTGTTTTAATGAGGAAACTGAGGCTCAAAGAAATTAAATGTCGCATAAGCACAGCTATTGAGCACCTCACTGTAGATCACTGTCTCCCATTGTTAATTGGTCAGTTCAGTTTGTTCAGGATTGTCCTTTTCTTATGAATCTCCAGGCCCTCACTATGTCCCCAGAGCCTAGTATGATGCGCAGCACCTGGACAAAGCACGGGACCGAGGGGAGGGAGTTGTACAACTCCACGGCACAGGGGTTGAGAGTCCGGACCCTGGATTCATGGAGAATTGGATTAAAAGCCTTTCTCTGCACAGACACCAGCCACGTAGCCTCAAATGCCTTACCCTCCCTGAGCTTGGATCCCTAGAGCAGGATTCTCAGCCTCAGCCTCTGAATCACATGGGGGTCTGTTAAACCAGAGGTGGCTGGGCCCCAGCCTCAGGGGTTCTGATCCGTATGTGTGAGGTGGGACAAAGACGACGTCTTTCTCACAGTGCCCAAGTGATGCTGAAACTGTTGGCCTGGGTACCATACTTTGAGGACCACTGTCCTCGAACTTCTGTTCAATGAGATGATGTCTATAAAGTCATTTGTCCTGTGCTCAGCAAATACTGGAGGTGCCAAAAAAAAAATGTATACAAGTGGACATTTTGGTCAATGTTGCTCAAGCAGCAGTTCGCCACAATCAGAAGTGTCTGGCGGTAACCATTTTGAGCACCTTTTGTAATTGCAGAAGTCAAACGTGACTTGTGTTCATCTTTCGTTATTGGTATATATTGAGTATTACAGTTTTAATTTTTTTTTTCCTTTCTTAAAATATGTATACATTTTTGTGGACCCTCTGTATTAATTGTGGCTGTGTTTGCAGTAGTTATGATACAGATGTAAGGTCTTAGAAGGACCTTGGAAGTTAAGTCCTTGTCTCAGTCCAGCACTGTCGTCTACCACTGACACAACTTTGGGCCAGTTACTTAATCATTGTCTCCAAGTGAGTGTCACCATCTGTAAAATGGGGGTGGGGGGTGCCTATCACCTAGAGTTGCTGGAGAAATAGGAATTATATGAGATGATCCATGGAGCCAGTCATATAGTAATACCTTTGGCTCCAAGATAACATTTATGCAGAATAGTGTTACCAAATTATTAGATCTTGTTTAGCATTATCCCTATTATTATTATATCCTGGCATTTAAAATTATCAGAAAATGTCAGGTTTGCCTGAGATTTGATATATAAGAATACTGCCTGATTCATTACCTTTTTTAGACGGAAATGTAATCACCAGAGTTTCATCTGCAAATTCTTTACTGCAAAGTGCAACATAGTAATAAAGATGGAAAGGAACATCTAAACCCCAGTTTCTATTAAAATATTTAAGCTTAAATTGATTGGAACTTCAGCAGAAGAATCAGTGATAAGTAAAGGCAGGAACGTCTTTCACTGCAGAAAACACATTTGTTTAGTATATGCAAATATTAGTCCCCGTGCGCACTGATGCAGAATAATAAAATATAGAATCCAGAGAAAATACCAAATGGGCTTGGTATTTAACTTAATGATTTTAAAAGAAAATCAGCCCTCAGACTTTACAAAGCCCTTCCTGGAGTTTCATTTTGCCTGAGAGAAAAAGACAGCCTCCTAGCACCTAGCTCTGAACTTGATCGGACACAGAAGACTGGGACATCCATTTAATGGAAGGGCAAATGACTTTTCTATTCTCCTAAGTCAACACTGCTGATTTCCCATGTGGTAACAAAATTCATCATGAGGATATTTTGTGCTTATTCAGCACATTTCTCAAGAAAGCTCAAAACATCTTTCCCATGCTTTCATTTCTAATATCTCACCTGGAAATCAGTGACTATAAACAAGCATACTTATTTGGGAAACGTGGAGAATGTGCCTTATATGATCAGAAATGGATTGCTTGTAGTTTTTTTGGTTTGTTTTTACATGTCCTTTGCAGTGAGTTATTCTGTCTATAAGCAGGAATTTAGCAAAATGGGTAAGAAGGGAAAGTAGAGATAGTACTAAAAGCACAATGCATTTGGAAATGGCGCTGTAAAACAGTTCAGTGTTTCCTTGGGTATATTGTTTCTCAAATCACAAAGCCAAGCAAAATATTAAATACATACCTCATTCATTCATTCATTTGTTTATTTAAAGAAACACTAAGGAAATGACTTCAGAGCTGAATCAGGGAGTAGGAAATTGTCACCTAGATGATGTGGGGAGAGCATTCTAGGCAGAGGAAAAGTCTTGCTCTGAATTTGGTAGGCATGAAATAATACTTTGAATTTGAAGAAATGCCAATTACTTGATTAGCTGAAGAGAGGGTAGGGTACTATAGTAGAGGAATGTCAGAAAATGAGCTTCCATGTGACAAGGCCCAGGGAGTGGAGGCCTCAGAGGCCCTGCTCACAACTTAGACTGTATCCTATGAACCTCAAAGAGACATGGGAGAAACAGCAGCAATATGACCACAGTGTCATCTTTTAAAATGCTCCTAATCATGTAAGCATTTGCTTTTATAATACATACAGTGTACCATGCACTATTTTTGACTACCTTATGCACTTCAACTCTTATAATACCCGCAGGGACCCTAAGAAATGGGTGCTCTTGTTTTTCCCATTTTTATGGAGGAGAAAGCGGACTCATAGAAAAGTTAAGGAGCCTGCTCAAGATGTCTCAGCTAGCAAGTGGTAGAGCTCAGGTTTGGATCCAGGCCACCTGGTCAGAGCCCATGCTTGTAAACACCAGGCTAGTCTGCCCAGACCACAGTACATCACAAGAAATTGTGTGATTGAGATAGATAGTTAGGAGCACAAACTCTTCCCAGAATGATTTACCATGTGCAATTCCCACCATTCCAGACTGATCCTGAAAGGCTTTTGATGTCACCTGTGTTTCTCCAAAAAAGAGACTTAAACTGTGGCTGGTGACTACAGGAATGAGTCACTTACCTTGTGAGTGAGCCCAGCCAGCTGCCACCCTACACGTGTCCACAGCTTTGTTCTTTGCTCCTTACCATCTACATGTTACAGGGTGAAGTGTATCTTACAGTGGTTTTCCTGGCAGTCCCTCCCTCTCTCCAGCTCTGTGGACTTACAAGACCTTTTGTTCTTATTTTCTCAAGTTGAAGAAACAAGGCATAAGTATATGAAAGTTGAAATGATAGGAAAAGTTCTGAGACCCTAACAGAACTATTATTGTTGCATGGTGATTTTGGACAATTGGGTTCAAAAACACTTATGGAACTTGTTTTCCCAACATAATCAACAGCACTGAAAAAAAAAACCCTGCTGATTCTCAAAAGTTGGTGGGATCTGACAGTTATAAGGAAAGCTAAAACAAGTGCTGAGGAGGGGCTGTATATTCGATTAGAGGGTGATGTGTCCCTTGATGTGAAGTCAGCAATACCCTGCTCATTGATTTATGCTTGTACTTCTGTTTTCTTTTATTCTTTTTGCTTTTTTTAGGGGCACAGATATTGTTCTTGAGGCTATGTCCTCAAGTGCAGCCCTGATGCTGGCTTTGCACGGGACAAAAAAAAAAAATAGCAGTGGCCTTTGGGCCACATCAGGAATGTATAATGACCTATGCTTTGTGCACACAGGAGGATTCACATTTCCAAAGCCACGCTGGACTGCCTCAATGGCGACTACAATGTGGAGGAAGGTCATGGGAAAGAGAGGAATGAATTCCTGAGGAAACATAATATAGAGACCTACCTAATTAAGCAGCCTGAGGAGAATCTGCTGTCCCTGCCTGAAGACATCGTCAAGGAATCGGTGAGCTCCTCAGACAGGAGGAACAGTGGGGCGACGTTCACGGAAGGATCCTGGAGCCCCGAACTGCCCTTCGATAACATAGTGGGGAAACAAAACGTGAGTCCTGACTTCCTTCTCCTGATTAGCCCAATGCATGCTCAGCCCAGGGGCCTCAGAGAAAACCCATTCACCTTTAACCTTTTCTCTGCTGAGCAACATCATGGCCAATGATCAAACATATCTCCGCAGAACAGAATTCACCTTTGTGTGCACCGTCAGGAAATGCCAGATATACTGGAGTGTTCCCAACACCCTTTCCTTTTCACTGATTTTTTTACCTTGCTAAAAGTAAATGGCATATGAAATTGAATGATCATTTTACACACAAAACAAATTACTCATGTTGGAAAAGATAAACCAGATGTGATTAACCGGCAAGCAAAGTACATTCTCATGTATTCATCAAGTCCATGAGAATGCCGTTTTTGTAGGTAGATGGCAGGCTAGGAGTTCCGAGTTGCCCTCTGAAATTTAAAATCAGGGGAGCACTGGTACTGTGGGAATATAAAAGCAACATCAAGTGATGCCCAGTGTGGGGGTCCAAGCATTCAGGAATAATGAGCAATTTCAAAGCCGTCCACAGAATCCTATTCCTATTCAGTGTGGATTTGCATTTCTGTGAGGAATAGGGCTGCATAGTCAGTCCATAGGTATAGGACACCAATAACCAAATTATTGTAAAAATTATTTCTTCAAATGTTGGAGTCCCAATAAATCCAATGAGATGCTCAGACTCGGAGAGGCCCCAGAGACAGGCTGATCAAAGTGGATTCTGAGATGCTCTTATTAGGGCACGGTCATCTGCTCTGATATGAGGTTTCCCTTTAGTCCTTTAGGTCAAGCACATAGAATTGAATTCATTGTAAGTTAAATGGTGTAACTCCACCGTATTTCCATAAAGAAATTTTAAAAGCCAATATATAATAAGCCTTGCCAATCGTTTCTGATATGCTCCTGAGCCAAGCAAAAGCTGAGAGTGCTATGAAGTCAATCAACCAAACCAGTAGTGTCAGGAGCTTCCTGAAGAACCTGCTATGGGTTCACTGTTTCAGCGCATGGACCTGAGCTTTTCTCAGTAACTTGTAGATGAGAAAAATTGGTCTGCGTAAAGATGTTTAGAATGGAAAAGGTTAAAATGCTGAAAGTCTTCTGCAGCTGACAGATGGACAGGACGCTCTGAGGCCAGGTTAGCCTCAGCGTCCTTCTATTCTGTGTGAAGGAGCAATGCATGGACCCGATTCCACTGGGGAAGACGCAGGTCGAACCCAGCCTGCATGCCTTGCAAGAGCCTACCCTTAGGTCCTTACTGTTCTTTGGCGAGTGTTTCATTTTTCCCGAAAGTGTCATGCCCACACATGCCATCGCCGATGGCAGTGCCTGCTTCTTTCCACCCCTGAATCGGTGTGCATGGTACAATTTGCTATTATGTAAAACAACAAACTTATATATACTTCCTGAAGTGGGTGCACGCTCAGCTGACCATACCTTCTCTGCTTCCTCTGCCTATTTTTAGCTTGAGCCTGGATGCTGGTTATTTAGAGAGGAGACGCATGCCTCGCCCTGAATACCTCTGTAATTCTGAAAATTCTCTCTCGGTTTTTTTGGTCTTTCTTTTTATTTTTGGTCTTCCCACTTGTGAAACTCTTTCCATGTCAGCTGATTGTGGAAATTGGGATAATTCCTAATTGTTCTAATCTCAGTTGTACCTAACCTTGCTACTAATACTTGAGAACCAAGAGGAGGGAGGTGGAGGTGCTTGGCTTTATTCCATGACGGATTGATCTGGTAAAATTGTATTGGACTAGGTGAACTATTTCTTTGCCAATTTCCTGCAGATATTAGCTGATGTCATCAGATAGTTATTGCAAAAGATGTCATTATTAGTCAAAGGTTATTATTCTTGGTGTTTAACCATATCCTTTATTTTTTTGCGATGCCTGAGTTTTGACTGGATATACACCCTATCTGCGCCATCTCCACCATGAATAATCTCAATTCATTTTGATGCTGTCAGACTTCAGACTCCGCGAATGTGTACTGATATTCACAAATCAGTGGCAGTAATAACAGTTAGGAAATGACGAAGCTGATTAAAATGATCACAAGCTCTCAGAGTTTGCATTGATGCTTAATTCTCAATGTCAAGGAGCCATATGTGCAATTCAGAGGCATAATGTGTGCCTGGAAGAGATCAGGACTGGTCTGGCTGAGCCTGTGCTCTGCTTAATTACCCAGTCAGTTCCACGGAAAGCCCAGACCATCTGAGTGTTTGCATAGCCCACATCAAACATACTAATGCTTCACTGGGGGTTTTCCAGCTAAATTGGCCAAATGTTTTGGCTTCTATTGATTTGTAATGGGTGCTTAGAAATATTTTTAATGACATCAGTAAGCTGGAGCCATATCTGTGCTATATAGACAGCAGATGTTCAGATAGTTACATTCTCATGTATTCATTCATTCTATAAAGATTAATTGAACATCTACTAACTGGTAATAAAAGAGAAGGAGGGACAGAGGAAAGAAACTTTTCAGAGGTAAAGTAAGCCAGTAGTTTATGTTTCATGAAGATAGAAATTATATCTGTTTCACTTACCACTGTTTAGACCACACTTAGAATAATATCTTGCAAATAACAGGGCTTCATTATAGTTTGTTGAATGAATGAATGAATGAATGAACGAATGAAGTGATAAATGTGGGTGATAAAGGAGAGGAACCAATCAAGTCTAACTTCTAGGTTTTTTGCTTGGGTGAGTGAGTAGGTAGTGGAACTGCCCACTGAAATAAGCAATACTGGAATGGAAGGAAATTGGGTGGGAAACACTAGGAATCCAGTTTGGGACGTGAGGAAAGGTTCAGGGAGAGATACCCAGAAGGATAGTGTACACACACTTTTAAAGCTCATGCAGAAAAGAATTGTACAAGGGATGTGAATCTGGCAGCCTTCAGAATGTGAGTGCCAGTTGAAGCCATGCAAGTGAAGGAGGTCACAGTAGAGAATATGTAAGATAAAACAATAAGAAGGTACAAAATAGACCTTGAGGGACACCAGATGGGAGGTGAAAGAGAGTCAGGATCCCATGACAGAGACAGATAGGAAGTGAACTGATGAGAAGAGAATTAGGGAATATGGTGTCGTGGAAGCCTGGAGAGCATTTTGAGAATGAAGGAGTTATAGAAGACTGGAGAGCATTTTGAGAAGGAAGGAGTTATAATAACAGTGTCCTGAGAGGTCCAGGAAGGTAAAGACTGAAAACTGCCGATTGGAATAGGCTGGAAGAACATCATTGGCAAGAGATGGATTTGATGAGGTGGTGAAGTCAGGGGCCAGGTTGTCACAGTTGATAAGAGCGCTCTGGATTTCCAAGTAGAACCCCAACTCCTGCCTTCTCCCCACTTCCCATCTCAGGAGTCTGTCAATGGTTTGGAGGAGCAGTTATTGCACTAAGAATTATTTCTGGTCCCTTATGTGAGCCTTCCAGTCCTTTGTCTATGCTTAAGGAGTTTCCTTGGATGTCATGCATCTTCCGCTATAGCTGTGTCCATTTGGGTTAAAATTCCCTGTTCAACCTGGTCCAGGTTCTGGTGTCCAGGTTGCTCTTGGAAGCCCCCAGCACTCATGCTTTGCATCCCTGAACCCTAGTATGGCAGGGGCTCTGCCCCCTGGTTTGACCTCTGGCTCCCTGAACCCTGGTTTAGTTACCAGCGAGACTGCCTACGTTCTGAGCCTTGGAGTGGGATGAAAGTAAGAAAGCTAGAAGGCAAGAAGTTTATGATCACAGGTGGACTATTGAAATTTAAGGCTACAAAAGTAGAAGTAGGTAGTTGAAATAGACCAAAAGTGAAAAATTGGACATTTCGGGGAGGATGTCCAGAAATTTCCAGGCTAGGTTGTTGGATGAGTCATCAACATGGTCATTGAATCTCTCTGAATAAAGACAAAATTGGGGATGAAAATGAAGACTTAAGAAAAGGGTCCTTATATTAAAGATCGTATTTTTCCCTTCTGGTTCTATGCCATAACAAAAATCTACTGTGGGCTTGAGCTCTTGTTCATTTAATTATTTAACGGGCACTCAGTATTCTAGCTGCCAGGGATCCGATAAGAAGAAGACTGACTTGGTCCCTGTCCTCCAGGAGCTTACATTTTAAGGAAGTATGGAATGCAGACAATAAACCAAAACATGTAAGTGATGTGAAGGAAATAGAGACAGAGTTCTGACAATTAAGTTCACGAAATTGTTGCAATGACATGGCTAACCTTTTCTGAGATCAGAGGGATTATTCATTATGAGTATGTACCAAATGGACAAACAGTTAACCAAGTTTACTATTTGGAAGTGATGAAAACACTGTGTGAAAAAGTTAGACGACCTGAACTTTTCACCAACAATGCATGGCTCTTGCATCACGACAATGCACCAGCTCACATGGCACTGTCTGTGAAGGAGTTTTTAGCCAGTAAACAAATCACTGTATTGGAACACCCTCCCTACTCACCTGATCTGGCCCCCAATAACTTCTTTCTTTACCCAGAGATAAACGACATATTCAAAGGAAAATATTTTGATGACATTCAGGACATCAAGGATAATATAATGACAGCTCTGATGCCATTCCAGAAAAAGAGTTCCAAAACTGCTTTGAAGGGTGAACTAGGCACTGGCATCAGTGCATAGCTTCCCAAGGGGAGTACTTCGAAGGTGACCATAGTTATATTCAGCAATGAGGCATGTAGCATTTTTTTCTAGGATGAGTTCGCAAACTTAATTGTCAGACCTCATATGTCTAGGGAGCAGAGTGAATGATGGGATCATCAGAGGCCACTGAAGATTTGATTTGACTGCTGAAAGGACCCTAACTGCAAATGACCAGGAGACGAGCATCATAGACAGAGGAAACAGCTAGTGCAAAGGCCCTGTGGCAGGGAAAAGGTGGTGTGTTAGAAGAAGAGCCAAAAGTCCCAAGGGGCTAGAGCATAGTGAGCAGGGAAGGAAGGGGTGTGAGATGAAGTTAAAGGAGACTGGAGCTTGATCCTCCAAGCCTGCTTGACT